TATGTGAATTTTGGAAGGAATTAACGAAATGGGCCGAAGCAGACTATCACCGCTCAGAATGTTTCTCGACGATGAGTGGATATGAAACAACTTGAAACCAACAACTTTCTTGAGTAACTAGTTCTACTTGTTACTAACTGTTCCATAAGTTCCACTATAAAGACCAGGACTTGCGCGCATAACTTACAAACTAGTTTCAACCAAGCTCCCTGCATCTTTGTTTACCCTGTCAGGGCATTTCTTCGGCATATTCTCAGGGGTCGTCATTCGAACATATGTATAACATGCTCAATGTCTGTGCGCCTTCCAAATAGGCTTTTCGATAGGTCGGTATTAATCACTCACATGATGGATTTTGCGCTGATTCCGGTTTCAGTGCTTTGGTCGCTTCAGAGATGTCTTCCTTCTTGCGAGTAGTCATTAGATAAAACACGCTCTTCTTGTCACCACCATCTGTCTACACATCGTTGAAGTGTGACTGCACAGTCAATTGTATTTCGGTTGTCCTTGTTCCACAATCGTCGATTCTGCCACAGAAACACTGAGAATCGTCTTGTTTCGTTACATTCCATCTCAGTAGAGGATAATCAGTCAAACCGGTGTCTTCCATTGCTTCGTGACGTTCACACAAACGCGCAATCAGACTGACTAGTATGATTTTCGGCAGAAAGAAGTGAGTTTGCTCTTCTCTTGACCTTTGGAGCTTTTTCCCTTCAGTCTGATCGAATCCATGTGTTATATTCTATCTCCATTTTACGGCGAAATGTGATATGTACCCCGTCGCATACCATTATCTTTTCAGAAGGTATATAAAAAGTTTTTAAATGCGGGTGTAATCGGCTTAAATTACGCAGTCATGTGTCAGTCTTTTGGGTATGTTTCGTAGCGGTCTCCGTTATACCCCTCTAATCGGCTTTGAATTGAAAAGGCATTGATAAAGTGCGACATCAGTGAATAGCCCTGTGTCAGTATAGTGCGCTGCCTTCATTTTTGATTGCTACATTGCAAAATGCCCATCGAATCGTTCGAAGGTTTCCTACGGTAGGTTTCTTGTAGTTTCTTGTATTTTTATCTACAACATATCACAACATATCATGTCACAACTTTGGCTCCGTTCATGCATCGCTTCAGAGTTTTGAGTATTTCGAGCGTTTTGAACGACACGAAAGTACAGGTGTCGATCCAGTTTTAAACATTCCGCGTGTAATTTTGAATTTTTGGCGGACAGGTGCTGAAACCGCTGGCGCACACTTACAAAGCTAGATCTGTGTCTATACATTCCTAGTCGCTCAAAACGTTGCAGCACTCTCGAAGCGCTCATAGTGTACGAAAAGCAGGAACGCAGCCTTTCGGGTACAATCTGGCGGCCTGAGAAGATTATCCAGGGTCGACCGACCATCTCTTAATCATCGCATGATCAATCATAATATCTAGTGATTTGAGTCTTCCAAGATTTAGCTACATTCATATGGAAAACTTTCAGTGAAAGGAAGAGCTTTAGCGTCTTCACTCTCGACAGAGCTCAAAAATCAGACTGAAACCTCTAGGATTTGCCCTACCAAAGCCTTAGGTGTGGAGCATAAAAGGATGTCGTCCTTCGCCATCAATCAATCCACTTTTTGGTTTGCGGCCCGCATTATACTTCTGAATCGAACTGGCACTTTCATTACGAAAGTGGCTTTAACGATGAGTTGCAGGGACCAATCGAAGTACAGGTCAGTGTTCTTGATCTCGTAGAGGAATGTGCTACCGGTTCACCATCTAGGAGGCTTGGTTTTCTTGGGAAGGAGCCGATCCGGGATTTGACCCCGGCCGCGCGTGTGGTAGGCGTGCCACTTCCCACTATACCACTTCCGCCTTAGGAGTGCTTAAAACGATTCCGACATGGTAGTGAACCCAGGATCCGAAGTAGTTTCCGATAAACTCGAAGGGAGGATTAGACAAAAGGATTTTTTGCGTCTGTCAAGGCCGTCTATGGATATCTGTCATCCGCGAGGCCTAACTCTCCTTTTTCTTCCTCCTTCACCTCTCTCTCCTTTCTTCATTCTCCCTTCCCTCTTTCTTATTTTCCTCCCTTCGGATGCTTGGCATAGGCCCTGTCAAGGCAGTCTCGTGAATCAGCTGCGTTGACTTTCTACCATCTCTCTCTCTCTCACTTTCTCTCACCTGTTCGAATTTGCTGGCGCCTTTGTGGTGCCACTATTAACTTTTAGGTGAATTATGGTTGCCAAATGACATATCGTAAAACCAATGTTACGTTGCCAGTTTCTTCTACGTAAAGAAAGAATAGTTGATCGTTTGCAGTGGTTTGCAATGGTCCGGGCAATCCTCACGAAGAATCCACCCGTGAGCATTATTGCATTCAGTGAGTGTGACGCCATTTCCATAAGCGGTTTATTTCCGTTCGAACTCAATATGACAGGACTTTTTCGCTATCGAAAACAGTTTTTTGTGAGCACCAGTGTTGTCTCGTAAATTGGATTCTCTTTTTTGGCGCGCTTTCTATGGTTCCACAGTTACACTCCGTATTTCGGAAATAGGGAGGGCATGGCTGCTTTCTTTCGTACATTGTGTACGTCGCGTGTTTTCGTGGGATGTTTCCATTTGAAGTCGCTGTCGCGTTATGTTGTGCTGGAGAAAGACATTATTATAATGCTCCTCAGGCAATGACATTTCACCAGAATCGCAGCTGCGCCGCGAAGGAAAGAATATGGAGCGTATTTCCTTGATTTTTCGGTTTACTTCTTTTTCGTAACCATCATGTTCTGAGCCGGTAGGGGTGTAGCGGCAAGTGGCACGATTAGCACGCGCGTAGTCTGGGGGGGGCTCCAATCTCCCGAATCGGCTACCGCTCAGGTCACCCGAGCTTTCTACCATAGATGGTAAATTGGTAGTAGTCACATCCGGGATAATAAGAGCACTGACTCGTACTTTGGCTGACCTCGCAAGTCATTGTATAGGCCACATCGCATTCAATAAGCCACTACGATTCTGAATGGAAGTAGAATGCGTGCCGCATCCCACAAAGGGATTGATCAACGGCGAAGACTTTATCCTTCTTATCCTTTATCATCATGTTTTATCTTCAATCTAGTTTTGTCCCTTGGTAGCCCTAGCGCTAGAACAACCAACTATGTGGCTATTGATCATGGGGCTTACTACAGGTTTAGCGTGCTAGATAATCCGGCTGGTACAATCGTGGAATACCCACCAGAGAACAGTAATATCGGCCAATGGCGAGCGCTACAGTGGGAGCGCTACAGCTTGACGAACATTCCACCTGACAGGCGATCGATACCGTTATCGGACAGGTGTGGAGGTTCTGAAAAGAAGTGCACCACGCCCCTTTGCAATCGTTCCTTCCCAACGTCGTCGTCATTTCCAAACGCCTGACATTCTCACAGAATCACTGAGTTCTTAGTAAACCTGGATTGCTCGCTGAAGTTCTTAATGTGGTAGTGAATAGGGAGGCGGGTCTTTTCTTCACTCTGTTACGGTATATAATTTTTTTCCTTTCTATCTCCGGCTGACTTGGACCTGTCACAGTTGTCGCAGCGATTCTTTGCAGCTTTTTGGTTATTCAGTGAGGATTTGTCCCCCTCACGTTGTTCTTTGGTGCATGTCATGTGTTCCGCGTGACACAACGTCATGTGTGTTTGTCCCGTATTTGCTTTACTCTCAATAACTCTTAATAACATTGAGTGATCAACTCAAAACACGATAAGGACATGTTTTCCGCCATTAGTTCGTCGAATATTACGCACCTTACTAATCTCTACTACTGAATGAAGTGAACTGTGTGTGAGTAACTCACTCATATTAGAAGTGCACTTTGCCTCGCACTTTTTAAATGGGCATACAGTCGGAGTTGCGTCAAACCGGAAAGTTATCTTTACATTGATCTCTGCTTGCGTACTACTCATAAGTGGGTATCTTTTCTAGCTAGTGCGACTCCTAACGTGTTGCTCGATGGCGTGCGTCTTTGATGACGTTTTCCAGAGACGTTATTATATTGACTGTTTGAGCTCATAACTTGTATCCATACCCTGAAAGGACTATTTGTATAACCTGTATCACGGGAGCGGTCTTTGGGACCACGCGACGTCGCGCGCGGCAAGCTGCAAATACCGCGTGATTGCCATAGGGCGCACGCTCGCGATTGCATTATCGAATTCGATTGTGTTCGCTTCAGTTTTTAGCCACGCTCTTCAGTCTGGTAGGATCTGGATTGTTCTGACCATCAGATTTTGTTTTATTTGTGTAAGAGTGATTACACAGTAACTGAGGTGAAGAGAAAACTGCATAGATTCAGCTCGCGAGTTAATGTAGCTTACTTGCATCGTCTTACCGCTACATCCCCCCCCCCTGTATCACCTGTGCATCATCCTCATCGAACACCTCGAGCGGGCGGTAACGTCTCCATTTGTTACTGCGACGTGGTAGAGTTGCCCAGTGGGTTCTCTATGCTCGAGTGCCGATGAACTTCATACCTTTCCCTGGGAGCTTTCACGTAGATGTCTGACCATCGCGTTGATAGTCGTCCGAGTATTCGTTTGACATCCTGTGGAATCCAGTCGGTAATCGTTCTGCCGCATCTTTGAAGCGCATGACGTGCCCTGTTCACCTGATTTAACTGTTTATGTGCTAAGTTATAGAGTATCTGAGAGAACACCGATGGGGTGACTCTCAGTCTCCCTTGTCTGCGCTGAAACTGACGTCAACTCCGTCTCTTCCACGTCATATCATGATTGTGACAAGGGTTTGATAAATTCGCCCATCCGATCGATTGCCTCCATAAAAAGCTAGTTATAGGTTCTTTTCTCTCCTGGTCAAGGAGTGGTACGAGTTTGAAAGTCGAAAAAAGAATACTTCACTAAAAGCTTTCGAACAGAGTTAACTGCAGCTTGTTTTCGACTGTCCCACGACTTCCTTCATGCTCTAAGTCGTGCTTTTTATCTGTGAGATACATATATTTTCGTTCCAGATCAATAGCAGAGAAGATGGGCAACAGCAGCTCATTAATGCTTCGCGATGAGGAAATCGATGAAATTGCCAAAGAGACGGAATGTAAGCGAATTCCTACTTTTCTTCTTTCTCTTTAGGTGTGCTTGTGAAATCAGAACCTATGCGAATGTTGCTTTATTGGTGAACTTTGGGGCCATAGCTTTTTTTTCTCGAGCAATATGTTTACGTCCCAAGTTTGAACATTGTATTGGGGTGGTCTGAATGTTCGACAGGTAGTCGCTCTTCAAATTTGTCCCAAGGAAAAAAAACTCGGAGATTTCGAATTCATGAAAAGTCCCGTGTTGTCTTGCATTATTGTGCCTGTCAAGGACAGGATTTACTACTAACCAACTGGTAATTTTTTGGGGACTTCTGAGATTTTCGACTGCTTGAGCATTCACTTCTGACTATGTTGTACTTCGTTTTTTTTTATTTTTCATCTGATTTCTTCTCATTTTCAGTCAACAGGAACCAAATAGTTCGTCTCTACAGTCGCTTTTTGTCCTTGGATAAGAAAGGTACGTATCATTACTTTTGTAATCCTTTTTTTCTCAATATGTTTTTGCTATACGTTAATTTTTGCTTTGAAATATTAAGAGTCATCAGACTAGCCAGTAACGGATGTCAGTTTTTCGACTGTCAGTTTACTAAGGTTTCCTCAGACCCTTATGATAGTGACTCCTCCGATGCATCCCTAGAGTCGTTCAGAAAAAAGGAATCGGTGTGGTAGTCAAGGCCTCTTTCGCTTTATAATGCGCAAAACGTTGCGCGGCACTCCTTTAGTGGCGATAGCCCGAATTATTACTCTCGTTTTTTTTATTATTCAATCTCGATAATCTTCAGTTACGCTCACTAGTAGTGTGTCGTTAGGCTTCAGCCAGAGACAGATGACTCCTTTGGTGAAGGACATCTATGATTTCCTTTGATCTGACTCCGCACGCTCATTAATAATAGGGACAATGTCAAACTAATGATAGGTTCTTAAAAAAGATCTGCCTAGCCGTTATTTGCGTGTGTACTAGGATTGCAGTGACATTTTCGTCGTTTCAGGCCAAGGATTTCTTTCTCGTGACGATTTTCTTAACGTGCCAGAATTAGCGGTGAATCCTCTTGGAGATCGCATCGTGGACGCATTTTTCACTCTAGCGTAAGTCACTAATGTTCTCTGCCAACTTAGTTGTTCTATTGCATCCTATCCTGTTCGTATTTGTTCTATTGCACATTCCCCAAGGAATCCTTAGCTCCAGTACAGATACCGTATAAAATTTAAAGGGATCGCGTCAGTAATAACTCTAGTGCCTCGTCCATCACAAGCGCACACGATGCGCGTGATCTACGTGATACTCGGCAAGTTAGCAAATTGGGACATCCTCTTCCAGCGGATGGTGAAGGAACGCAGAAAATTGCAGCAAGTTTTTAAGCAAGAAATAAATTGGTGGTGATTCGGCGACGCGTTTTTTCAAACCCATCATCTTTCAGCAGCAGCGTGTTAAGTGATAGTCATGATTCGTGCGTGAAGTGCACGTGATGGAGCAGATTGTGTAGCGTTCAGTTTTCTGCTGATTAATACATCAAAGCGGTTCTTTTTTCAGTGGAGAAAACGAGCAGCAGTTAAACTTCCGTCAGTTTGTTCGCATTTTGGCTCATTTCCAACCAATAAACCGCTCTAAGAAAAATGCCCTGAATGGAAGGACGGAGAAGCTGAAATGTACGTTGGTTGTTCATTGGTTTGTTTTCATTTTGCTTTTATTATATCTCGGACATGTGACTTGTTTCCTTGACTTTTTGTTTTCTGGTCTGATAGATTAAAAATTGGTCACATGTTCTGTATTATCCTACTATATATAATCCGCTAAGTTTGTCTGTTGGTGTGTGTGTGTGTGTGTGTGTGTGTGTGTGTGTGTGTGTATGTTTGTGTGTCTGTATGTGTGTTTGACCGGAAATTCATAACTTCCTTCAAAACAGCGATGTGCGCTCAAACTGATAAGTGATGTAGGAGGTCGGGCAGGAACACTATTGGTAGGTGGCAGGAAGTGATAAGAGCTGATAAGATACCATAGGGGGTCTTAGAAAGCGAGGGTCACCGACTCCATAACGCGCGTCACAGCGACGCTAGGACTTTAGTTCCAAGAGGCAAGTATAGGGGACAGGATGAGAACATTATTGGTGGTGGCAGGAATTGATAACAGCTGATAAGATACCATAGGGGGTCTTAGAAAGCGAGGGTCACCGACTCCATAGCGCGCGTCACAGCGACGCTAGGACTTTAGTTCCAAGAGGCAGTATAGGGGACAGGTGGCAGGAATTGATGCTGATAAGTTTCATAGGGGGTCGTAGAAAGCGAGGGTCACCGACTCATAACGCGCGTCACAGCGACGCTAGGACTTTAGTTCCAAGAGGCAGTATAGGGGACAGGATGAGAACATTATTGGTGGGTGGCAGGAATTGATAACAGCTGATAAGATAAAGGGCTCTTAGAAAGCGAGGGTCACCAAATTCATAACACCGGCCACAGCAACGACGAGACATTGGTTCCAAGAAGTAAAGAAGTAATATAGGGGGCAGTATGAGAACATGGCCGCTGGCGGGAATTGATAGCAGCTGGATAGCAAATTCACAGCAGAGTCATAGCAACACTGGGAACTGCTCCAGCAAGTAATTCAGAGGTACTTAGGGAACATTAAAGGTGGGAGATAAATTCTGACAGTGTCCGACGAGGGCTTTTGGGTGTCCGTATCTGCTCACATCACCGTAGCCAAAGAATGAATGGGCGAATTCTTAATGAGTCAAGATGTTTTCCCTTAGCAAAATCCCTCAGTTCAGTCGGAATTGCTTCCACCGCTAAACGCTCGAGTTCCCCGAAAAAAGGATGTTTGGAGTTGTTGCCCAGTGAGGAATGATAAGAGCCCCTATGATTTCAATACCATCGGAATCCTTCCAACCGCTATGCTGTCCGATTTCCAACGAATGGTGATTTTAGAAATATGATATGAGCCTAACATTGGCAAGTGTTCATTAAAAGGGAGAAACATGATGAAATGGGCCGTTTTGGAAACATAGGAATTAGGCTAAGTGTTACTGCTCAGCACAGAAATCCTGTCAAGTATCAGTAACATAGGTTTAACCCTGCGCGCAGAAATGCGCGTCAGCCAGACTGGTATTTCAAAAAACGCTCAAAGAACAACCCTCGATTAGTTGAAATTTACAGTTCATCCCTGGAAGGGTGGAGCACCAGGGACATCATGACTCAGAGTTGTCCACATGATGAAGAAGAGAAGCAGCTCGCTGCAAGTACCGAATGGAAAGTAGAAGTCTCACTTTCCTGTGTACTCCCTCGTCTTAGATCGCCTAATCTTTCGTGCCAGCCCGCTTCCCCGCACGTGATCGCTCATGCCAAACTCAAATCATTTGCAATTTGGACGACCTTTTTTGTACACTTTCGAAGGTTCCCTCTGCTTTTTCCTTGTCATTAGTCAATAGGTCCACCCACTTTCCATTAAGCTCATTTATCTGAGGGGGCTGAAGATGGTCTAACACTTAAGCATGAGTTGCGGGGTCGACCTGTGTTTCACCATCTGGCGAGTTCCCCAATACTAGCATTTCACCTTCGAACCTTACTAATTACATGTCGCTACCATGAAGTGTGACTCTAAACTCGGTATTTTCAAGTTCAGTCTGTTCTCTAAAAACAAGGATTCAACTTTTTGAAGTCCCACAGATAGTTTCCTTTTAGTTGCTTTCCAAATGTATGACTTGAACAAGAATGGCTACATAACTCGAGAAGAGTTTAAAGTAATCTTGAACAGTATGGTTGGAGCAAATATCACAGCAGAGCAGGTGAGTGTCGAGTGTGAATTGTGGTTATCTGGTATCTTCTAACAAGTGAGCTTCAATTGTTTAAGCTTGACAAAATAGCTGACAGAACTATCGAAGAAGCCGATGGTGATAATGACGGTCGAATTTCGTTCGACGAGTTTTGCAGGGTTGGTTGTATTTATATTTACGTTTTATGAGGTCCAAATTATTGCCTTTAAACGGTGCTCATACTTTGAGTAAGGTTTTGAGCGTACGGCAGCGTTCTGCGACTAGGAGAGGTATCGATCAAGTTGAGTTGAGCGGGTAGTTTTGAGCTTTTAGTGGGCAGCCGCTGAAAACGCTGGCCTGCGCTAAGAAGGTTAAATTGATATCTATACTTTCCTAGTGGCTCAAAATGCTAACGCAAATTATGAACGCAGCCATTGAAATGCAGCTGTAACTCTGCATTTTTCATTTGCAAACGCTATTTGTTGCAGGCAATGGAAAAGACGGACATCGAAGAGAAGATGTCAATTCGATTCCTCAACTAACCCAAACGATTCTAGATAGTTAGTCTAAGTGCCCTTCATTCTACAATTACGGTTTACAGAATTATTTTGTGCAGACGACTGGCGACTATTGACAAGTTTCTACCAAAAGGATATAGTTTCTGAATGATGGCGTCATTCGTTTTATCCGAGTGGATGTATTTGC